GAATTTGCTGAAGAATGGATTCAAGGTCACTGTTTGGAACAGAACTCTTTCCAAGGTATTTTTTTCATTACTCTCAGCCATTTTTAGCTTACTTTTAATTGGAATATCATCATCATCAATCAGTTGCAGATTTTTTCCATTTGAGATCTGATTGATGGGTTGGTGTTTGTTTTTAGTTTTATGTTTTGGGTTCAAAGATTTTTCCTTTTTCTTTGTTTTTTATGGGAAATTGATTGACTTTGATTAACAAAAATCAAATCTTCAAAATGGTTGGTTGTGTTTTATTGTGACTGTCAAAGTTTGTGGCATTGAAACATTTTGTTTGCAGTGCAATGAACTGTTGGCTCATGGTGCCTCGGTTGGACAAACCCCGGCAGAAGTGTTAAGAAGTGTCAGATCACCATTGCCATGCTGTCTGATCCTGCTGCCGCTCTTTCGGTAAATAAAAATCTTGGTGTGGTGTGTACATGTATGTTAAGTCTCAATAAACTGTCATCACAACAAAATATGTATTTTTGTGATTGATTAGGTTGTCTTCGATAAAGATGGTGTTTTTGAACAAATTTGCAGCGGGAAAGGTTACATCGACATGTCGACAGTTGATCCGGAGACTTCTTGCAAAATCAGTGAGGTTAGTTGATACTCCTTAGTACTTGATCCATATATGTTTCCTATAAAAGGGGTTCATTTTGATGCATGATGAATGCAAAGAGACTGTGAACTATTGAAATGGTGTCAATTATGTTTGTGTTTTTCTCTGATAAAAGACCAAAGGCATTTTTGAGAACAATGTTTTTGAAGCTCCTTACTGGAGGATTCTATTAAAACAAATATGATTTGCACTTTGACTTTCTCATACTGACTTACTTATCGATGAATTAATCTACTCACTTCGATTTTCCATGAGATATCTGTAGGCGATCATGTCAAAAGGTGGCCAATTCCTTGAGGCCCCTGTTTCTGGTAGCAAACAGCCTGCAGAAACTGGTCAACTAGTGATTCTTGCTGCTGGAGAGAAGGTAAATCAGTGAAGTATGGTTTTCGATATCCGTATTTGAAATATATTCAGACATGGATATCGGAATATGACCCTCCAAATATTTGAAAAGATTTAGAAAGTCGAATGTACCCATAACGGATACATACCTGTATCTGATACTTATATCTAAATCCAAGGACTTGTATTTCTAGATGGTAGAATTATGGTGAAGTTCAATTTTTTTCCATAGAAAAACTGTAAGTTCATAGTATATAGTTTGAGCATTTTTTAGTGAAGAGCAAAGAGAAAAGAGGAATAAAATTAACGAGTTTTACATTTATCTTAATTCAAGAAACCTCACATCCATGCCATTGGAGGTTTCATTTACAAGTACTACTCTGTATGCAACTTGATCCAACGACTTTTTTCTCATTTCTTGTTCTAGAATCAATTAGTCAACCTCATTTTCTGGAAACAGACTCCTGCGTGAATTTTGTTACCTATACCATGCAAATTTATCTTCACTTTGGTATTAACTGCAACATGTCATTCTTTGTAAATGTAGGCATTATATGATGCAGCAGTTCCAGCTTTTGATATCTTGGGAAAGAAGTCTTTCTTCTTGGGAGAAGTTGGAAATGGAGCCAAAATGAAGCTTGTTGTCAACATGATCATGGGCAGGTAATGGTGGCTCTTTTCGATGTCCTGTTCGTATCGAACTGGGTTTGAGCATTTAGCCCTTCAATGACTCTAAATACGTGAAAAAACTTGCACTCAAATCCAAGTAATGTAACCTTTTGCGTTACTAAATTCTTTCTGTAATAGAACTCGAATGATCAGTTTTGCATTGTAGTCAACACTTTATACAACTATACTATACATTAGCATGCTTCTTACTATCAATTGTGAACTCCGTTAACTGAAGGTCAAGGCATTCACCATAGTTATTTTTCCTCTGCAGTATGATGAATGCATTTTCGGAGGGACTCGTACTAGCTGATCGAAGCGGACTGAACCCAAATGACCTTCTTGATGTTCTGGTAAGATTGCTGCAACTGCTTAATATTCTGTCAAGTTGTGCAACTTGGAGTGACTGACCTACTTTCTGGCAGGACTTGGGTGCCATTGCTAATCCTATGTTCAAAGGAAAAGGACCGGCCATGCTCCAGAACAACTATTCCCCTGCATTTCCTTTGAAACATCAGCAGAAAGACATGAGGCTGGCTCTTGCCCTTGGGGATGAAAATGCTGTTCCAATGCCAGTGGCTGCTGCTGCCAATGAGGTTTCAATCTTTATCTTTATAGTGGTTGTCGACGAAACCGAAACCTTTTATCGATTTATTTGGTTTGCAGGCTTTCAAGAAGGCTAGAAGCATGAGACTGGGAGATTTGGACTTCTCAGCTGTGTCTGAGACGCTGAAGGATCTTAAACATTCAACTTGAGATCGTGGATTTATAATGTCGTGCAACACAAATTACACAACAATGAAGGGGCCATACTTGGTTCATGATTTAGGGTTTCATTCTTGGGTTTGTGAACGCAACTTGTTAAGTACGAAACTGCAATTTTACTGCAACTTCAAAGAGTTTTTGGTCATCAGATCATAAATTTAAATTAAATAATTTTATTCAAAACTTTTAAGAAATATATAAACTATAAAACTACAAAAACACGTAAAAGGATTACTAAACAAAAGTGAGAAATAGACATAATACGAACATGGTTTCGAATTTCAAGAGTCAAAAGTTGAGTAATCATGTGTTTCAATCCTGGGGATGATAAAATATGTAATGGTATCTGCAAGCCATCAACCCCCACTTTGCTTCAACTTGAAAAAGATTCCTTCTTTTTTCCAAAATAAAAGTTAACGATGGAGTCCTTTATAAAACAATACCAATGGCTCCCAAATATACAACACTCTCTTCCTCTTCCTCTTCCTCTTCCTCTTCCCTCTTCCTCTTCCTCTTCCTCTTCTTCTTCTTCTTCTTCTTTTTCTTTGTTGTCGTCGTTGATAATGTCGACTCCCTATGGCGACGCCGATGGCAGTGATCCAAATGCGTGGTTTGCTAAAAACAAAAGCAGTTCTCCAACGACCCTAATTTGGATAGCGGCGGGAATATTAATAGCCATTCTGCTTATGGTAATAGCTTACTACATGAGCAAGAAAGGCAAATCCTTTGGTTTGTGCTTCAGCTGCAAGATCGAATTTCGCTCCACTCGCCCCTCTGCCTCTCAGTCCAAGTCTTGATCTTTTTATTTCTCAAACTCTTTTGTTATCACATACTTTTGTGTTTCCTAAAAGAATTAATATTTCATACTGTCTGGCTCAGTTTCCCAAATTACAATCAATATAAACAGGCTGCAATGAATGAGGTAGTCGTTGAGTGGTCTGAATGGGGTAAGGAAATGTTGTTCTCTCTGGATAATGATTCGAACAATTGTTTTTTTAAGGGTATGTGTTGTTAATGATTAAAAAATATTCTAAACCGATACTATTATTTATATAATTAATTGTATCACTCATCCTCAGACTATGAAATCGAAATCGAGATATATATATATATTGATAGTTTGGAAAGAAATTAAAATGTTCATAAGTTTTGGACCAATTTAGAATGAAGATTATAGTTTAGAGATGAAACTGAAATGTTCAAAAGTTTGAGTATTAATATAGAATGAGAATCATAATTTATGGATGAAATTAGAACTCTTAAATTTTTAAGAACTGGTTTAAAATAAAAATCATAGTTTAAGGACTTGCGAAAGAATTAACTCGGTACATCTAAACATGTTATTTAATGTTTTGAAATATGCTTCAAAAGTCCCTATAATTTCCTTTTTTTTTCACATTCAATCAAAGATTTTAAGCATGTTAAAATAGACGTCAGATCTATGTACTTGATCCACTTGGATTTTTCTCTACTTTTATTTTAAGGAATTAAATTCCTCTACTTTTCAAATTTAAATTTTAAATCCAATTGTTAATTCTATTAAAATTTTTCAGTTAAGTTCACGTCTATCACAACATTATATTTATGGTTACATGGCTTCGAAGTTAATAATTTTTATTTAAAAATGTCACATTTGAATTTAACCATATAATTTTGATAATATTAAAAAATGAAATTAGAAGTATTGCCAAGAATGAGATTTGGGCTGAAATTCAGCCCAAAAACAAGTCACGAAAAAGAAACCTTTGATCTTCTTCCTCTCTATTCAGGATTCTGGCTGTTTTGCTAGGGTAAAAAACAAAGAAAAATGATTCGAAGTCGGCTGCTATGGTTCACCTCGGGGTTTTCGATCACGTCGGCTTCGTTCTCTCAATTCATATATAAAGACCTATGGACCGAACATTACGCCCTTAAATCTCATGTGCTAACATTTTTCCTTTTTTTTTGGGTCTCGGGGATTTGAATCCTCTTCAAGAAATTTTTGGTAATTGCATTCGTATTGTTTGATTTTTTCTATTTTAAAATATTTGCAGATGGAGCTGAAATTTGATGCTTTGGAAGCTAGGGCAGGGATGGAGCTCTCCACCCCTTTTAAAATTTATATATTCGATATAATTTTGGTTTAATAGTGTTTTAGTTTATGTAAAAATAAATATTTAAATTTAAAAAATATAAAAAATTATTAAATATTTAATCAAGTAGGGGTCGAACTAAAAAATGATAAGTATGTGTTCTCAATTTTTTTTGTCTAATTTCAATTTAAGTCATTGTAAGTTTAAATATTAGACAAATTATAAATTGTCTTTTGAGTTTTGAGTTTTTTTTTTTTTAATTTAGGGTGAATAAAGATAATATTTGTACAAATACTTTCAACTATTTGACAATGAACGCTCATACCCTACATACGTGCATGAACTCGGGACCTTAAGGATAACAACAATCCCTTAATCACTAAGGTCGTTTGGTTCATGCTGAATTTCGAGTTTAAATACCTAATAAATATTTATATTTTTCTTATATAATCTAATATTTCGGCCCCTGTCAATATTTAATTCTGGCTCCGTCCCTGCTAGGGTTTCGAATCTGGAATCCATTCCCTTCAAAGAATCCAAATCCAGCGAAGGTGCTCCTAAATTTCTTCTGAATTAGAAACTTTAACTTATATTGATTTTATTTTTATAATCGGTTAACTAGCTAAATTTGATGCTTCGCTTACTAATATTATTTGTTTGTGTTTTAGCATGTCTAGGTGTACGTATATATTAGCATTAATGTTGCAAACATTAAGTTCTTAAAAGTTACATTTTGCGGAATGCATTTGGAATGCTAAACTTGTATTGACCAATCGTGTTGGTACTTAAAAATCTTTAGTCCTTGGGGATTATACACACAATGTACATCCACTTGTATTGACCTCTGTCTTGTGGATGCTTCATAATTTTTATGGTATATGGTGATCATATACTCCATCTGTGCAGTACAAAACTCAACGAGCTTCCTTATATATACTAAGAAACAAAGGCTTTCGTGGATTCCCCAAATTGGTAGCAATGACAAGTATTTATGCTGTATATACTCTGAGTCGAAAATGGTTATGATGTATGATTTAGCATTACTGACATTGGGCGAGTACAATTATCTCGCATTTCGCTCTCTAAGATGGGAATCTGAAGGCTTGAGTCTCATCAGTGTTTAAATTTGGGATGACGATTCACTATATCTTTTTCTTTCTTCTGTTATTGGTGGCCTTCTGGTCGTGTGCAAAACAAGGTTTCTGGCTGTGGAAAGCTTCTAGTCGTTAGAGTTGCGGCCAATAGGCATGTTCTGGGTAAGAACGTACTCTTTAGCTTATAGATTGGAAAGAGTTCTCGCCTGAAAAGGTTGCAACTTGCAAGGAACTGTAATTTGATCTGGCTGCGTCGGACGTTTGTACTGAACACCTTTATACATTGGTTCTTTCATTGAGAATTTAGAACTTTTTAATATTGTTAATTCATGATAAAAGCTTATGTTTCCCAAGTAAATTTAATTTATTTTGCTAGTTCGAGTGCCGACATTTTTTTGGTTTGTTTGGAGTTTTTCCGTTCAATTCACTCTTTGATTGATTGGTGTCCGTAAACTACTCAATCCCATCGTCTATTATTTCTGGCAGGTTGAAACAATGAGTGGGGAATACATTTTATTATGACATCTTGATTCTCAAGCAATGTTGTTGTAGACGGATTATTACCCTTTGCACTTATAGTATCTTTGATTTCATTTTCAGAGCTCGAGTTCTATTCTAAAAAAATTATTACTTGATCTTTGTTCGATTGAGCTTGAATTCGAAATACTTTATTTATATTAATATAAAACTAATAAGGCTTAAGAATCCTAGATGTTCTTGTAATAGACTAAATTTATCAATTTTACTCATATCGTATTTTTATTTTGCTCTCGAAATTGTTTAATTTTATCAATATCTATCTTTATTCATCTTAACTAATAAAATCGTTAGTTTTTGCTCACGTGGACCCTAGCTGTTTCCACGTCAAAGGACTGAGATTGTGAGCTTTCCTTTTTTTCAGAGGCTTGGAGTTGTGATTTCTTTTTTTTTTTCCTACCACCCAAAACTACGTAGTTTTGGAAACAACCATTTTAATATTTTTTTCCACTTTATTTCTTTCCCTTTCCACCCGTGCTTTCTCTCTTAGGCATAGTTGCTCCACCATGTTGGCTGTCATCGTTGGTGGTCGATCAAGACCAAACTTCACCAGATGGCTCGCTTTGACCTCCTGATCATAGATGTGAAGTCCGTTTTCCCCAAATAACCGTCGTTTGTTGTAGATCTTGAAAAAACTCCTCGGCTCCTTTGAAGTAAAACACCTCCATTCGCCGCCGCTTAGATCTCATTTTTACTTGCTTGTTTCGTTTCATCCAGTAAAGTTTGTTCCTTCTAAGCTTTCTTTATCTTTTTTTTAATATTTATGATTTTTTACTGAAATTTTGTTCTCCTTTTTTTATGGAGATATAATTATAGGTTTTGTTTGTTTTTGTGGTAGTTTTAATGGGTTTAATTTCAGTTTTGTTAAACAATTGGTGTTGTTTTGTTTCCATCCTTTGTATTAAAAAAAGTTTCATGAACTGGCTGTTATCAATCTGGATGCTTTGGGAAACCCCTGAGGGAAGCCCTCCTAGTCGAAGATTACAAGCCCGATGAAATGGTTATTATCGATCTGGATGCTTCGGGAAACCTCATTGTTACAAGTCGATCGGACCGGAACATCAACTTCTCTGATGAACATCCATCTTCTAGTTGCTTATTATTGGTACCGTACAATTTCATGAATTGTATCTGGAAATTTATGTAACTACTCCCGGCATCTGTAATTTATCTATCTATTCTCTGGTTACAAATATATTATTTCATGATGTAATCCTATACATGTAAATAATGAAGATTTTTGGGTGGTTTTTGTATAAAAACATTTTAAATATTTTTAAGAAATATTTAAAATGTTTTATTATTTATTTTTTAATAAATTTCATGTCATTATAGAGTCACATCAGTAATTTGGTTGATGGGGAAACAGTTGCGTCCTCATCAACAAGAATTAATGGTTCTATTAGTCAAGACAGTCAGAGGTAAACATAGATGAAATTAAATAATTTCGAGGGTAAAATTGAAGCGAAAATAAGATAAGAATGAAATTAATAAATTTAATCTATTAAAGAGGTATATGTGACCCTTCATATGCCCCTTAAGCCAACTAATAAACTAGTTTACAATGTGCAGTAAAATTGTGCACACATTATATTATTACTAGCATATGAGTAGAAGTAGGACCTCAGGAATATTGGTATCCCACCTTGGCGATTATACAATGCCCGTGAAGCCCCCAAGTCTTTTCTTTTAAGCTGCCGCATTGGTTCCACCTTATAGATTATTTCCACAGCGTTCAAGAGCTAGCTGGCGTGTTGTCGAAAGAATCTGATATCGAACTCGATAAATGATTAAAAGAGAAATCGAGTTCAAGCAATTTGGTACTTGTATTCAACAACCGAGGAAAGAGAAAAGGATGAAATCAGGTGAATAACAGATAAATAATGTGAAGAAATAAAACGGCAAGAGAGACATTTCTGAATGTTGATACTTTAAAAGTAGTTTTCACCTCTGGAGATCGTGTGCATGATTCACTTCCATTCAAAACTAATGGAGCAAATTTTTGCTTAATCAGTAATCATGTTTTTCTTAGCCAAACACGACCGTTTTACTTATTTGATAACGAGGTTTCAGTGGCTGAGAAACAATGTTCCTCAAGTCGTACACAATTAAAGCACTGTAAATTGAAAGACTTGCAGAAGAAATCCGGATTGTGATGCATTCATGACACCAAAATAATTAGTTCAATGCTTCATCTTTCCAAATTCCAGTTTTCAATCGGTTCTCACTTCAGTTTTGCTAGAACATTCTTCACAATCATTTTTCGTAGTTATCTACACAGGGAATTCTGAACAAGGACAATGCTTCTTCCACAGCACCAACAGGCCTACTCGTCATCGTTATTTTCATCGAAATCTCTGATCTTCACATCAGCGTCTTCACCATATTGAATGCAGTTGTCAATTTGCGGCAATATATATTGTATGCTGTGAAAGTGGTAACAGTTTACCATTATCCAGGGAAAAACAAAGAACTTAATTTGTGAAACTGAATCATCTAATCCCAGAAAGCGAAAGTCACACGACGTTCCTGAAGCATAAGCACTACTAAGAACTCGGTTCTTTATAAAACCTATATGAAATCAAACATATATATAGAAAAAAGTTCTCGAAAGCAATGTTACATCTTATCCTTCTAATTCCTTTTCATTTAAAACTTGAATTATCAAGATTAGTTACTATATTACTTCTTTGCCTAATTGATACTCGGATATGTTAGACTGTTATGTTAATACTTCTGCTTAAAGTATGTTGGTAATTTGGTTTCACTTACCTATATCATTCATATTTTCGAACAATGTTGCATCACTTTTTATCTGCTTATTAATGTATTTTCGATCTGTATGGGATTAATTCTCTGTTCTGACGTCTGCATGAGATTAATTCCCCGTTCTGACATCTGCATGGGATTGATTTCCCGTTTTGACATCTGCATGGGATTAATTCCCCGCTTTGACATCTGCATAGAGTTAATTCCCCATTTTGACATTTGCATGGAATTATATCCCTTTCTGTTTATCTGTAGCGAAAGGTAAAATAGTGTGCCATTGGTACTGCTTTCTGTTCATTAAATTTGGGTTTAATGTTACACTTTAATTGTATTGTTTTGCATATGCTTGGATATCTACTTTACTTTAGAGGACACACCGAACTTCGTAGCTCATTCTTCAGGCCATTCCTTTGTATGCTATGGCATGTTTTTTGTTGCCAAAAACCCTTTGCTCGGAATTAGAAGGGATTATAGCTCGGTTTTGGTGGCAAAAGATAGAAGACAAGAGGGGGATTCATTGGTGTCGATGGTCGTCCTTGTGCTAACTATAGGAGTAAGGGGGAATTGGTTTTCGTGATATGTGCAAATTCAATGTAGCACTTTTGGCAAAACAAGATTGGAGGCTATTTCAGAATCCGAATTCTTTGGCAGGACGGTTATTCAAGGTAAAATATTATGTAGGTGGAGATTTTTTATCGTCAAGGTTAGGGTCAACACCTTCGTATATTTGGAGGAGTGTTTGGAGTGCGAATGGTCTTCTTCTGACCAGGCTTCGATTGAAGGTAGGTAATGGATGGTTGTCTACAAAATGGCCAACTCAAATTGCCATCACGATAACAAATTTGGTTGAGTTAGTGGCGGATTTGATTGATGTGGAAACGGGGGTTGAAAGGTTGAGCTGGTTCGAAACTTGTTTAGTGAGGCTGAAGCGGATACCATTCTTAGTATCCCTTTATCCAGTTTTGATTAGGCTGATTGCAGGGTTTGGGGCGGAGAGAAATCTGGGATGTATAGGCTGTTTCACTTGTTTTTTCTGGTTTTTTTAGTTGTTGCGTTTTCCTTTTTTGTTTATTTGGTGTTTTTAATTGCTTTCGTGCCAAACAGCTGCCATGTTTTAAACCTTTTGTTTTTTCTTTATTAATAAAAGTTGGCACTTTCGTTTGTTCCCCCCAAAAAAAATATAAAAATAAAATTTCATAAAATGTAAATGGTATTTATATTTGTATTTAACTCAAATTAATAAAAAAAAATTAAATTAAATTTAGTTTTATTGAAATAAAATAAATTTTAGATGATATGATTTAAAAAATTAATTATTGAATTTAAAAAACCTAAATTTAAAATAAATCAAACTTAAAATAATTAATTTTAATTCTATCAACTATCAACCTATAATAATTAAATATAAAAACATACGCAATAATTGAATATAAGTAAGTGAGTGTTGGTATAAGTAGTTAAAATTCAGGATTTTGAATTTGTAAGTTTAAGTTCGAATTCTATCACCGTCACTCTTGACGAACAATCTGTATATTTTTATATAAATTTCAATTGAATCTTACTACCTGAAATATATTTTCATTGTTTCATATTATTATTATTGCCCTTCCAAGTTCTTTGAACGTTGTCCACAGCTAAGACATGTTTAACCGGAGTATGCGTGTTAATGGATAATGTCGTAATCCAACCAATTGAGGTATACTGTGGTGAATCTAATCGAAGAAGATAAACTATAACCCCACAAAGAGGACAACCTCTTTTCAGCCCCACCCTCACACCATCACGTGCCTCTCACCAACCCCGGAAAATGACCCTTCGAACGTCATCTCCTCAATCCTCACCTCATGTTTACATCACGCGCTTTGACCCAGAGTGAAATTTGGTGCAACAGTGAAAATATCTAATTCGGTCTTGTACTAGCTTGGCTGTCTGGTCTCTTTAATCCTATAACGAGAATTGTACCGCACGAAGGACGTGTCGATATATTGGTCGTTGGATCAAACGGCGTTTATCTCGATCGCAGAAAACGAGGCGGATTTCGAAACGGTACCTTCAAAATCATCCTTTAAGCAAGACCCTTAATTAATCATATCGCTAATTAATCCTTTTTAATATTTATCTTTTCATTGGAATTGTACTGAAAAACCCTTGGAATTCTCCTTTTAAATAATGCCCGAAAAATCTATTTCCTTTTTACTTTTTTTTTCATTGGAAGTTTTGCTTTTGACTATGTGCAGTGCAAGTGGCCAAGTGGGTGTTTTCTGTCTTATCTGCTGCATTTTTTCTGGGGTTTTATTTGTGCTTTAGTTTGAAACCTTTTTTTAGGTTCTTCGGTGGTTATAAATTGGTTCTGGATCTGGAAATTAAGTTCAAGGTTGTTATTCATAAATGTTTCTCTGAATTTTTTCTTAATGCCTTGTTTCTCAGTGAATTCTGAGATTAGGTTGTTTATTGCATTAGGTTTTTAGCCTATGTTAACAATTTGTGCTTTGAAAAAACTTGATTTTTGGTTTTGTTTCTTCTGGAAATCTTGTGAGAAAAGTACAATTCATACAAAATTTTGGTTTGTTTCCCTTGTTTAAGAATAAGTAGTTGAAACTTGAAACAAACCCTTGATTTGTTTTCCTTTGATTTATCTTCTTTAAACTTTTATTTGTCAAATTCAGCTCTTCAATATACTTTTGAAATCCAATGAAACGATATTATTGACTTCTGAAGTTAGTATAGATACTGCAGATAATAAGAAGTTTGGGAAGTTTCTACAATAGTTTTGTCTTTAATCCTTAAGGCTTTGTAATATGCATGATCATCACTCATATGAGTTCCCTTCTTGCTTGTCCAGCCAGCTAGAAAGACTCCAAAATCTTCGGTGAGTTTCTGGTGAGCAATTTGCTTATCAAGTTATCATCTGTCATTGCATGTGATATGGATGTTACATAGTCATGTTGTCCTAGGTATGAGTTTCTTTAGGAACTTGGATTTCAAAAAATGATTTTGGATACTTGTAACATATATGTTACATGCATGATTATAAACTAATGGGTTTTGAAGAAAATGTATTTTTTATAAAAAAAAAAATTATGCCCATGACAATAGTTAATGAAATTCTTGAACTATGCTGTTAGTATTCATGGACATGAAGATTGTTTTGCTTGGACTGACATAGTTAATGATATTCATGAAATATAAGACATTGATGGCTTTAGAGAAATGTTATTAGATGTCACTATGTCTATAGAGTATAGAGATATTGTGCATAGAGAGGATAATGTTGTTTTGAATGGTTTCTGATTGGAAATACATGATATCGATCTATCTATCTAGCTATATACATGCTTACATGTATATTTTGACATTTTATCTTTAATTTTTAGGATTTTTGGAATCACGAGTATTGGATGTATTTCTATTGCTTTGGGGTCAATGGTAACAGAATCTATGACAATCTATGGTAAGAAAGCCATTATGATTAGAGCGTCTTTTCTATTAAGTAATAGCTTACCTGCAATTTGTTCTTATTATGTCCTTTTTTTTCAGATTTTACTTTGAGATATGATACATTATCAATTGACAACGAGAGAGAGCACGCTTGTAGCCATTCATGCTAGGTCGTGGATGCATACAAGCGTGCTCTCTATCGTTGTCATGTGATTTGTATAGATCTTTTTGCGGTATATGTTTGTTGCAATAGCTAGCAGCCAACAGGTGGTTTCGACTTTCTTTTCCATCTTGAGTTCTTTTATTTAATGAAACATTAATAATGAAGTAATTGATTAAAGTTATGTCTTAGGATGCATTGATTAAAGTTGTGTTCTTAGGATTTTATGGTGTATCTGCTATGTAAAGAGAGTATATATGTTCCTTTCCTCATGCATACTAGATTTTGTTTGTGGTTTGTGGTTTTTTTCACAATGAAGTTAAACCATTTTGCTAGTTCTAATCCATTATGATCATTTTAAGCTTATTTGAATAATTGTTTAAGGAAATTTCTCTTTTATAAAATCAGTTTGTCCTAGATTCCTAATGTAGTAATCCTTCATGTCTGCTTTTCAATTTCTTTTCTTATGTAGACCTTATTGTTTCTTTGATTCAATGTTCTTTGTAAGCTGTACAGGTATCAGATTTATATGTTATTCCGTTGTACAAAAAATTCCTCAATGATGTCAAAGAGAAGTTTGTGTAGGTAAATTCTTTGCCATGTTCTTTGTAAGCTGTACAGGTATCAGATTTATATGTTATTCCATTGTACAAAAATTTCGTCAATGATGTCAAAGAGAAGTTTGTGTAGGTAAATTCTTTGCCATGCTTATTGGATGTAGCTTATAATGTCCTATACCTTTTTCTTGTTTTTTTTGAACAACTAAAATATAACCCGCGACTCGATTTTGATACTATATCCTCGATGTTTTGAATTTGATCTTTTTGATGGGCAGTTATATAATGATACTTTAGAATAAATAAGATATGGCAACTTAAAGTTGGGTTTTGAACAATAGCAATTGAATTTGATGTCCGTGACCATTCATTGAGTATATTTTTATGCACAAATGGCCTATGCTGAGGGAAGGAGTATTCTAGTGATTTTTTCCCTGGAACAGGCCTTCTTGTAGTAGGCATCATTTTTGGTTTCTTAAGAATTTTAGGGCTTAAGTTTCCTAAGTTTAGTCTTATTAAAACTATAACCATTTGGGGATTGCATTGTAAAACTTTCAAAGGAAAATCAAGTTTCTAGTGATTTTGTACGTTTAGCTTTGCATAAAAAATAATATTGCTCGTTTAACTTGCCGTAGACATTGTCGGAGTTGGTGGCAGCTGCCGACGAGGTCGGGTTGGTTACAATTGTATTTTGCTTCACTGGGACCAAAACTGAAAAGAAATTACAGATACAAAAATAAAAAATTTAAAAATTTTGCAGAAAATTAAGTGTATCAAATTCTTATAAAAGATATATTTTTGTGAAAAAATTGAACTTTTAAGCCAGATGTGTTAAAAAAGAATGAAGTCAAAGGTTTAAAATTATTGATGAAAGCGGCGTTGGCCACATGTAGGTTTCGAAAAGTTATGTGGACCTAAAAAAAAATCGTCGCAATCGGACACTTGAACATAAAGTTATGACCTTTTCAAAATTTTGTAGTATACTAAGCACACTTTGCTCCAGCATGCGATTAATTTACTTTTAGGCATGTGTGCTTAGTAGTACCTTTTGTGGTCTTTCTTCTTTGGGTCACTCTTTATTGCTAGGGCATTCAACATACAGTTCATAACACAAAACAGACGAGGGGGGTATGGTTTTCCAAATTACTTCTGCATAATGTGAAGTTTAGCCTATAAGGTATCAATTGCGTGCATTAGATAATAACTCCTGTTTTATATCTGTTTTAAATTGCAGGTTTCGAGTGTTATATAGGTATTTTTTTACCTTCAGCCTTGTAGCATTTTCTTGATGTTGAGGATTTTTTTTTGTAATTGTGTTGCATTTTTGTTGAAGTCTTTTCTGGAGTATGAACGATGGCATTCTACATTTATACCTATGTTTTTTCCCCTTGCAAATATGAACAAATTTATGAGATTCGAGCAGTTATTTCTTTTATGAGATTTGAGCAGCTGTTATGTTTTCAAGGACTTGTCATCTACTAAATTCTAACTAAGCCCTAACCCTACTTCAAAAAAGATCATCCTATTTCAACCCTAACCCTAATTTTTTGGTTACAGTCCTAGCATGGTGCCTAAAAGGTTTTCTAAGTTTTGATATTTCCACAAGGATCCATCCTTTTATAGAACCATGCATTCATAAATTTCTACAACATTTTTTCTAGGTTAAGTGAAATCTTTTGTTCATCAAAAGGAAGCAATAATGTTGGAGTACCTATTATAAAGATGACAAAAGCCGTGGAAAAGCACTTAAGCAGTAGTAACCAACAGATAAAATAATTAAGATAAAGTGGCCCTGGCGAAATAGCAAATCAGAAGATTAACTCGACTAATATTCCCTAAAAAGACCCCATCTTTTACATAGAGATTTGGCCTTTGGTTAAGACTTGTTATCTATATTCAAGAGGCAGTTGAATGTATCAAAATACCTGAACTAGAACGGGTTCTGGTATCCTGCTTCAATCTAAAGGCTGCGGCTTCCTTTGCACAATTAAAAATAGTTTGCACACTCTCTCTATCCATGATTTTCTGAAAGGGGGAATGGACATCCAATGATTATTGGTTGTCAAGTTTATATATATTTTAGGCTTTGGAATGAGAGTTTGTATGCTCTTTTGTAGCTGCTTTCTTACAAGGCATGGTCAAGAAACCTCCCATCGTTATAGTATTTAATTCTCGAAATCTCTTACTGATAAACACGGTAATAGTAAATGCCTTTGTTTCATCTCTTCCTTTAACCCCATTTTCTCTTGGGGAATTCAACTCCAATAGTAGCTGAAACCATGTTTTATAGTGTTTATTGTTGCTTGAGAATTGGTTTATTGATTTTGAACTTTTAGGTTTACTAGGCAATGTGTGGAACTGAATCGAACATTTATTAGTGAAACGTCTTGGTTAAACTAAATCTAAAGTTTTTAGAGCAATCTTCTCTACTTGAATGTATGTAGATGACCCCTATCTGCAATCATCTTGGTTTATTGCGTAGACATGGAGGCTTTTTGATGAGTAGCTGAAACCATGCTTGATAGCCTTTTCAGCTGTAAATCCTCTACGTGCCATATATGTATATGCTTTAGCTGTTCAGCTTGAACTGCCTTTGGGACTTGGGAGTATGTTTTTGTAGTTCTCGGTGACTCAGATTTTGTTGATATGTTATCGGTTCATGCATATGAAGGCTGCTTGAGGTCATTAATCAATGTTTTCTTTATAGGTTGTAGGCTGTAAATTGGAACAAATAGCTGAAAATTAGGAAATTTAATTTCCTAATTCTCATAGCTGCTGATTTTGATTTTACCATGATTTGTTAGTTTGTATATTTTCCTAGAATAAACTCTCTTTGTAATCTATAAATAGGTAATATTTTTATCAATAAAATATCAATTCAATTGAGAAAAACAGATTACTCAAAATTGAGAATCTGGTTCAAACACCTAGTTTCTACATGGTATTAATTTAGGCTACAAGATCCGAACCCTAGAAAATATGACCAAATCAACTTCCTCCGAAATAAATTCGGGGACTGATATTGGTTACAATTCAGAAGCCCTTCCAAATGCATCTGGTACGGCTGTAACCTGCCATAAATTGACTAGCCATAACTATCTTCAATGGTCCCAGTCGATGAAACTCTACGTCACTGGAAGGGAATGCTCGGATGCATCTCAGCAGGGAATTCCAAACCGGCAACAACTGATGTAGGCTATCAAAAGTGGTTGCGTGAGAACAATATAGTCATGTCCTGGTTGATTACTTTAATGGCACCTGGAATAGGGAAAAGCTTCCTTTATAAAACTGCATATTAAGTTTGGATTGCTGCCAAAGAAACTTAGTCAAGTTCAGATAACATGGCTGAACTATTTGGTATTGTGTGTAAAATCACATACCTAAGGCAAGAAGATATGGATGTGACAAACTACTTCAACACCATAACAAGGTATTGACAACAAATTGATTTATTTGGAACTAATAATTGGAATTGTGTCAACGATGCAACTCTTTACAAGAGACTTACAACACAGAAAAGAATCTTTCAGTTTTTTGTATGGTTTGAATAAAAATTTGGATGGGGTTCGAGGGAGAATCCCGAGTACAAAATAGCTCCCTTCCATTCGAGAAGTTCTTTCTGAAGTACGCAGGGAAGAAAGTAGAAGGGTTGTTATGCTTTCAGACCCACAAGTTCATGATGGTTCAGCCCTTCTAACACTTTCCAGTTCTAACAGTTAATTGAAGTAAGGAAAGCCAGGGTGTGATCACTGTTCGAGTGGCCACCTCAAAGAAAGTTGCTAGAAACTTCATAGCAAACCAGCTGACTTGAAACCACAAAAACCAAGGCCATGAAGAGAACCTTCAACCTCTATTGCTACTATTGAGGAAGGAACTAGCTTCAACAAACAACAGCTGGCAAATTTACAAAGACTAATCAAAAAAATGACTATACCAAATGACTCTTCAATGGCTGCTACAACACATGAAGGTAGTCTATCCTTTGCACATTTATCTCATCATAGTGATTTTACTCCATGGATTGTGGATTCCAGAGTATTAGATCATATGAATGGGGACTTGCAATTATTCCAAATATTTCAGAAAGTATTGCCTCAATCTCATGTCAAGACTGCAGATGGATCTTGATCCACCATTGAAGAAGTGGTTCAATTCCCCTTAATCAGGATATTAAGTTATCCAATGTGTTTTATGTGCTTAATTTGGCTTGTAATCTTCTCTCAGCCCATAGATTATCTCATGACTTACAATACACTACTGAATTTTCCTTAAACTTTTGTGAATTTCAAGCTATGGGTTCAGGGAAGGTGATTGGCAGTGTTAGGTTGTCTGGTGGACTCTACATTCTTCAGGGAAGCCACCTCCTAAACGACAAGCCTATTCAAGTTGTTCTCCTCAACCTTCAAATTTATCAACCGTTCCAAATTCCTCGCAAGATATTCTATTATGACATTTTAGATTAGGTCACCCACATTTTCACCTTGTAAAAATGTAACCCTCTTTTTATTAATAAAATTTCAAAGTTGTTTACTCGTGACATTTGTCCTCTAGCAAAACAAACAAAGGTTCTTACCATTTTTTCACTTATAAATCCTTGCATCCTTTCTCTATTGTTTACCGTGACATTTAGGGCCCTTCAAGAGAAATAATTTAGATGGTTCTAGATGGTTTATCACCTTTATAAATAATCATTCAATAACAACTCGGACCTTCCTAATGAGAGAAAAATACGAAATTGAAACATTTAAAAAGTTTTAATGGTAGAAACTCATTTGGGAGCACTATTCGAATCCTTTACACTGATAATGGGAGTGAGTACTTCACTAGAACCTTAGGATCCTACTTTCAACAAAAGGGATAATATATAATGGTTCTTGTGTTGATTCTCCTCAACAAAATGGGATAGCAGTGAGAAAGAATAGACACTCTTAGAAGTAGCTAGATCCTTGTTATTTTCCTCCAATGTTCCAAAACATTATTGGGGAGAGGCTATTCTTACTGCCACATACTTGATTAATAGGATGCCTAGTAAAACTATAAAATTTCAATCCCCTAGAGATGTCTTACTCCTAACTTTTCCCCACTTTAAACCTTTTTCTTCCAATCTTCCTTTTAAGGTCTTTCAGTGTACTGTGTTTATATTCCTAGCCCTCTAGGTCTATGTTAGATCCACAGGCTTTTAAGTGTATTTTTTGGGGTATTCTTCTACCAAGAAGGGCTACAAGCGTTATTGTCTCACCACAAGAAAAACCTGTCTCCATGGATGCACATTCTTTAAACATCAACCTTACTTTACCAAAACTGCCATTCAAGGGGAGAATGTGACAGAATTTCAGTTTCTTGAACCATGCCAGCAACCTTCCCAACCTACTGCCTCATTACCTCCAAACCAGCAGCCTTCACTTTCCTATGATCCAGAAATATTTTTTTCCAGAACAACAACCCTATTTTTTCCTAGACCAGCAGCCTTCCTTGCCTCCTCCAAACCCATCAGTAACTCCCCAAAGAACCCAAATTGTTCAACTTGAAAATAGGGAGCTAAGTGTTTATAAAAGGAGGCAAAGGCCAACCATAGAAGTTGCTCTACAACCTGGAAACTACCAAGTGCTAGATTCAAGTCCAATAGCCTCAGAAAATCCACAAGGTAAAGAATAATCACAAACTGAAGGTCCTATTTCTATTTCTGACAATATTGATATGCTTATTGCTTAAAGAAAGGGTGTGAGAAAGTGTAGGGACATGGATATTAACAGAGTTACCACAAGGAAAGAGAACAGTTGGATGTAAATGGGTTTTCACAGTGAAATGCAACTCAGATGGCAGCATTGAAAGGAACAAAACAAGACTTGTGGCTAAGGGATTCACACAATCCTATAGGATAGATTATCAAGAGACTTTTCCCAGTTGCCAAGCTAAATACACTGTTATTAGCAGTAAATGAGGACTGGATACTTCATGAATTGGATATGAAAAATGCATTCCTAAATGGAATACTTGAAGAATAGGGTATATGCAAGTGCCGCCGAGAATGGAAGAAAAAATCTGATGATAAAAGGTTTGCATGTTGAAGAAATTTCTATATGGTTTGAAGCAATCCCCAAGGGCATGGTTTGACAGATTTACAAAAGTCATTATAAAAAATGGCTGTAAACAATGCCAAGCGGACCACACCTTGTTCATAAAAGTAAGACCAAGTGGTAAGAAAGCTATTTTAATTGTTTATGTTGATGACAATATAATTGCTGGAAATGACAATGATGCAATAAGAAACTCAAAAGAGTTGTTGGCTGATGAGTTTAAACAAAGGATCTTGACATCTCAAATATTTCCTAAGGATGGAAGTAGCTAGAACAAAGGTTGGTCTTGTTATCAATAAAAGGAAATATATCCTTGATTTACCCTCGGAAACTGGGATGCTAGGGTGCAAACCAGCATATACTCCATGAAAACCAACCTAAAGCTAAGAAGGAAGAGACAGGCAGTCCAGTCAACAAGGAGCAATATCAAAGGTTGGTTGGAAAACTCATTTATTTGTCTCTTTTCTCAGTTAGTATTGTGAGCCATGTGTGATCCTAGAGAGAACATCTTAAGGCAGTGAATAGAATTTTGAGATACCTCAAGTTTACTCCCGGACATGGTTTATTTTTCAAGAAAAATGAAGACAGAACAGTTCAAGTTTTCACTGATTCAAGTTGGGCAGGGGAACTAACAGATAGAAGGTCAAGAAGTGGTTATTGCTCATTTGTGTGGGGAACTTGGTAACTTGCAGAAGCAAAAAGCAGCCGGTTGTAGCCAAGAGTAGGCTGAGGCAAAATACAGGGCACTTGCACTAGGAATCTATGAATGAATATGGCTACAAAGACTCCTAATAGAATTGGGACTCGGTGGTTCCAAACAATTTGAGCTACAAACTGATAGCTAATCAACCATTTGTATAGCTAAAAATCCTGTGCATTATGACAAAACTAAACATGTTGAGATAGATACAATCTTTATCTTTGAGAAGGTGAACAATGGAGTTGCTAAACTCAAATTTGTCTCTACTAAAGACCAGCTAGCTGATGTTCTCATCAAGGCCCTTTCAAGAGTTACCTTTGATGAAATTACATCCAAGCTGGGACTCTACAGCATAAACTCACCAACTTGCTTAATGAATTCATAGCTGCTGACCTTTAGGGATTTTTCCATGATTTGTTGATTTTATATATTTTTCCTAGAATAAACTTTGTAATCTATAAATAGACTATTTTTATCAATAAAATATCAATTCAATTGAGAAAAACAGATTACTCACAAAATGAGAATCTGGTTCAAACACGTAGTTTCTACTTTCTTCTATATTTGTGATAACATTAAAACTTGATACTTTCTGAATAGCATTAGATTCAGTGTCTTTCGGTTTTCTTTCGATATATTAATATTCTGTTTGTCCTGTACAGATACCTTGAGTTGCTGCAAAGAGGACAATATAATTGATTTATATCAGATGGCAGAAGAATTCTTAATCCGTTGTACTTGGGAATTTAGAATCCTGTGATTTGTGTTACACATGGAATTTGTTTCCTTGTTGGGAAACAAACGACCCATCAGTGAAAAAGGATGAAATAACAAGTTAATGCAGTTTCATTTGCTAGAGTAGCCTGGCAAATTTTGACAAGTGAAATGCTTTAATTTTAATTCATTTATGTCATCTGATGCGATGCAGATATTCATACATCTCAAGAGTCTAATTGAAACTTCTACTATTTTCCATTTTAAAGGTCATGTTATAGTTTTAATTCCTCTATTGCACTTAAATTAAGAATTTAGTCTATATATAATGTTTTATTATAATTCGTGGGTTCTTGGATTTTTTCTCAGGAGACAATGATATTAAAGAGTAGGAGGATCTAATATGTTTAAGATACAAGACTGAATAAAAAAATTTAGTATAATGAACGAACCAAAACCAGAATTTTTCCTATGTAAATTAAATGAACATCATAATCATTACTTACAGAAGTAACAACGATAAGGTCAGTAACGCCATTCTAGTTTATATCTTCTTGTCTTCAAGGACATTGATTTGGATCATTGACACTGTAAATTCATCTTTTTTTCCAGATCAGTTCAGCAACCGTAAGACCACCGCTTGATGACGGTAACCCGGGAGACTGACTTCAGCATCCTCCACTTCTCCATCTTCACCGTAGCCACCTTTGTCGGCCTTTCTCTAACGACCCAGGACAGCATAGCCTTGAGAATCAGCCACCTGCGATGCCGACATTGATGCATCTAAAAGTGCCTCGTCTTTGAGGTTGTCTTCATTAGTTGTTTCCCCTTTTTTGGTCCCTGGTAGCTCAGGGTCTAAAACTTGCCATCAACATGTTGAACAGCAAAGATGTTATGAAGCATTCAGGGATCATATTAGCCTCAGAATTTTGAGGTTTGAGTTCATCTCTCGGGACGGTTATGGGGTGCTTTTTTTTTTGTGCTTTTGATGTTTAATGTGACTAAGATCCAGTTGGAGAGTTCATGCAGCGGCGGCGCTGGTCATTCCGGTTTCTTTGGTTCTCTTGCTTTATATTTCCACTGTTGTTTATGCTTTCTGGCACTGAAATAATTTTTTTTTTGGGGGGGGGGGGGGGGATGGGGGCGCAATAAAGACCATGCGTGTCATTACTCAATGAACCAAAAAACAGCATTCTCAGTTCTCATTACACGTACAATTTCTTTCACTGTCAATAAAAACTTTTACAATGTACCTATTTCAATGGCATAACATACAGTTCTTACACAATGTTGAATGATAACAAGTTCAAAAATTATACAAGATTTTCCAGAAAATAATACCGTATGATACTTTCCAGACCATAAAATTTATATCCAACCAAGCAAAGGCCATGATTGATCTCTGATCTACTATATGCCAGTCACAGAGACTATGAATTGTGGATTGATTCACCTGATCATGGAGCTCACTTCATTCTCCCCCCACACACAAAAAACCATGTTAACTGAATGAATCCAATTAAGGCTATGATCAATGTAACGAATACCGTTTTACTTGAAATGTAAATCGAGGTTGTGCAGGAGAAATTAACTCTCTGAGCCTGATCCTGTAGGACAAAGAAAATTAGATGTTAACAACAATACAAAGCAAATTACAGAAGAAACTAAACTGCATTGCTTTGATATCTTACTTCTGTAATGACGATAGGATGCCACAATATAGAATTTTCCGGTAACGGAATCTCCGAATTATCAACCTCGGGATTCACAACGCTTACATAGGCTTCTTGGCCTAGATACCATGAATCAAGATTCTGAGCACGGAGATTCCAAATGCCTGCATTGTCGAGAGAAACTAAAATTGCTGTCCAGGCTCCAGGAAAGACCTGCAACCAGGTATAATGTTAGAAGTGGTTGTCCATACATGATATTTTGAGCATATATAATTGTTCTGAAATTTGCGTTGAATTTGTGCTTTCTTCTTCCTTAAGCTTTTTGCTGAGCATTTCATTTGAAAGCATTTGAGATCAAGAACACAAGGTAGGGATATACCTGTGTAGTAGAGCGTGCAACGCCATCCCATTTGTTGTATGTGCCTCTGCTATTCTCCGTCCATACCCCGAAATCCATACTACGAAAGAGTAGGAAAGTTTTAGGTGATTGTTTCATGTAAGGGCATTTATCCTCGTTTGAGGGTAGTGGTATATGCAATGGGTGTTTTATTCAATGAATTATGAGGTACTCTTTTTTTCCTTCCAATATTCGTTAACATACTTCTTAGTATGTGAACGAATACGAAGGAGTTTTTAATGAGACCTCCAACTTCTATAAAAAAAAGAAGCCAAAAGCTTACCCTACAACAAAGAATGCATAGCCATCCAGGTGGTAACTTTGAACTTGGTGTCATTGTTCTGAAAGATTATTTCTATAAACCTTTGAAAGTGCCATTAATTAGAGACACGTCGAGTTTGGGTGGTCTGTTCATCGGTTTATTAGGAAAATCAAGCTTGTAGACCCCAGGAATCTTGAACTGCTGAGCAAACTTAAAGGTGTGAAGGTGGTAAGTATGAATACCATTAAGGGTCGTATGCGTTTTCCATCTATAAACTCCGCAGGCCTATTGAGGACTACATACACGTCTGTCACAGTAATCGCCATACTTGAAAGATCCTTGTGGGTTTGGACGTGCAGCACCAGCAGAGACATTCCATCTATAAATACACCAGGAAGACTAAGATAAGTGATTTTTCAACTATATTTTAATCGAGGGTTTCTAAGCATACATTCTTATAGCAGCTATAATAAAATATATAAAATGGGCTAAACCTTATCGATCGCGCTTGATTCATTGAGAAATACGTGTCGTAATCATTAGGAGGATCAGGAAGAGGACCTGTAGCAAGTCCTGAGAGTTAGAGTAGTGCAAGATAGAGACTCCGTTAAGTTTAGCCCAGTCGGACGAGACAAACCGAGGACTGGCTACAATGTAATAATCACGCTAGCATTCTGATCCATGGTAACCAAGAATGAGTACGATTGACCCACATGAATCCATGTTCGAGTAGTTTTGCTGAACTGTGTATGATCCTTCAGTCTCAATGAGAAGTAGGTTATGGTTTTGAATTCTGAATTCAATGGTTGAAATCCCAACATTGTGGACCCTAAAGCGGTACGTTTTCCTGTCTCAGATTAAATATAAACTTATGGCCATAACAATACAAGTTTATTCCTCGAAGCATAATGTTCTAAGAACCTCAACACAGCAACCAAGTATTTATGTACCTGGTTCGACATTTATGATCTGGTAACAATCCCGCCCTTAAGGGCCGGATCATAACGGTATGGACCCAGTCCATTAATTAGGATACCATCAGGAACACCAAGGTCACCTCCTTTCGAAGAAAAGGTAAACAAGATTATGACAGACACCAGATGCTTTGAGAAAAAATTAAAATTTTTGCAAACCTTATGACTCTTAGTATACCAGTCACTAATAAAGTAGTAATATCACCATCAGGCGTCCCAAATGGTAGCGGAATGACATCTCTGTTGTTTATAATGATTCCTCCGTAGCCGCCTGCAGCTTTGGAAGTTCAAGGAAGGAAGTAAAAGAAACTCCCTATCTGATCTTTGACCTGAAACTCGTATGTCCAGTTCCAACCAGCAGGAATAGGACAATTAGTCCCTGAACACCATCTTGCCAAGAGTTTTCCTATGTTGTATACCCATTCCTATAATAAACAAGTATTAAGATTAATATCACCTTTAAGATTAATATCACCTTTTTTGTTTTATTCGGTCCTTAATCGTACATGTTAGCAAAGTGGCTCATCTAGATCATTCTTGACATTGACAACAACATTCCAATTTGTAGTAATGTGAGGATTGGTCCAGGAAACTGCCATCGATCCCTATGACCTGGAGTAATGATATTAATTTATATAAACTACATATATAGGTCA